AAATGGAAAATCGAGTTCGCGCGTTGTTGGTCACACTGAAAAACAGCCCAAATCATGCTCTCTGTTTCACAGTGTAAATGAAACAGCTTTTCCAATAATACGCCACTGCCGACGCTTTCCATTAGGCCTTCTTTAGATCAGAGTTGTTGAATTTCGACAGCTTCAGTTGTTGACCTTAGCACTTGTGCGGATTCAAGTCGGCAAGACAAACTTTGAGTTTATATAGTAGGGCATGTCAAAGAGGCATTCAGCATTAAGTGCTGCGAAAATGTCAACTGCGTTAACGAACATTAAATCTGCATGAATGGGATGAATATCGTAACTAAATCAACTATGACCATCAAGAAATACCAGAAAGAACTTATTGTATTACCATGAAAAAGGTTTGCAAGGTAGCGAATACGAAACGTTGTAATGGCTCATTATCTCATAAAACAATAATTTGCACCGCGCAGAATAAAACCGTGTTGTTTTCTTGTTTTATTACAAATATATACGTTTATGCCCAAGTGGAAATGCAGAAATTAACCCAAGTATAGCACAGCAATTTAAAGATGCTAACAGTAAGCAGCTGTGTTAACAGGTGGCAGGCTTTTCAACTCCTGACATTACTTTAATGCCTCTGTATGAGCAGTTTAAGACAAGGGGAAATATCATTCACAGAGAGGTTTATCAGACGAAAGAAAGAGTTAGACAATTCTATAAAAATTGAGGGCATAAACTTGAGAAAAGAAGTCCGTACCTTCCGAAAAACACACGTAGAACATGTGCCTGAGAATATCCCAATTTTGCTTTACGAAGGACTTGTCTAGTCATCAGCATCACTTCGTCTTCTCGGAAAAAGCAGTGCTGTAACAGGGTCTCGCCATCCTTTCACAGGGATGGGTACCAAAATTATAATGGCCTGCCTTAAAACTATGAGGAAATTCGTCAAACCATGGTCACAACTATACCGTTAGATGACTTTTTGCGGTTCCGCACAGAAATTAACCACTACTGCTACAACTACGGGAATGTGCAATATTGCAGACAAAAGTGTAGGTCATGCAAATCAACAAATTCACATGTAAAATAGTGTAACCAAAATAAAAACTTAATGTCAGCAGATTGTTGTGATTCATCGAGGGTCAAACTGAACGGTTTCTTTGGCGTTTCGCTAATCAGTTTGCTGCGGAAGGAATCGCTTAAAATAAAATGCGGTTTAACGATATGCGCACAACAACTGGAAACGGCATACCGCATAACCCATACAGGTTCTTCACATCGAAAAGAGTGCTCTTCAAAATCGTTTTCAGCATCGGTTTCACTTGAAACGGCTTCTGTTCGCCGATTTGCAACTGCTGGTTCAGAAAACTGCTCAGATATATCGGCAGAGACCTGTGCGGTCGATAAACTGGTTTGCAACGAGCCGCTCTAAAAGCAATATATATATTCTGTACAAAACTCATCAAAACAACGCTATAAAACGCCAGGAAGTAAGCCAGAAAAGCAACCGAAATTCAAGCCTATCCAATATCCAGAAAATAGTACAACAATGAAAAATCTTCGTATTCAAATGTATAAATATCGCAAAAATTAGTATAAAGGTTTAAAGACGTTTCAGGTACTCTTGAAGCGGTACATCATCAAGGTCGCCATAAGCGGAAGGCAGATAAACAGCGGCGCGTGCATCACTGTAGCTCCAGGTTTGCAACAATATCAAATCTTTATAAAATTTATACATTCACCAACTCCCCACCCAGATGCAATACCTGCTTCTTATTATATCATGATGGAGCCACTTTTCAGGCGCAACAACTCTAAAATTTTTTTCAGCTGGATCCTAGGTTTTGATCAACAATTCTGAGTTTTATCAGACACTGTATACAACAATGTTACTACATTTTAGGATTGAGTCAAATCAGTGCAGGCCGCATGTCGCTAAGAGAAAGAATGTGCGCCTCAGCTTCATAAAAACTTGACAGCCGACCATTCGAGGTTGTGACTATAAACGACATTCGATTAGTAGTCAAACCAATATGATTCGCTGAAAAGCGGAAAGCACGAATCTTAAAGGGGCTAAATTCGATATTCGATTGTTAAACATTAACGAAGAAAGGGTTCTCTTAACGCATTATTCCGCTGCCAAATTTAATATTTACAGAGAGTTGAGAGGGGAAATTACCTGGTTTATCAGCACCGATGCCCGCAACAACGCAGCATAGTGTTCGAGCTTCTCTGCAAGGTCCAGCGAATCAGAAGCGACAAAAATTGGCGAGCTAAGTTGAGAAGCGGCGGCCATTTTATTCACGTTACTCACAAAAGGTGCTTCTGCTACTGAAGGGTGCCCGTTAAGAGGAATTTGAACGTCCAATCCTCTGGCCGAATGCAACAGCGACGTTGAAAATGAAGACAATTTAGCCTGAAGTTCTGGATGCGACAGAAACAAATCTCGACCCTCTTCTAGGCCATTTGACATCGCCTCTGCGTGGACACTATCCAGATGAAGCTCCTGCACAGCACTTCCGACATTCGTCTGCTGCCTCTGTGACTGTTGTGCTAGCTCATTCAGGGTCTTCCCATTCTTCTTTCTAGCAAAAGGTGAACCAAACGGAACAGTTTTCGTCGCTGACGAACGCCACTGCATTTTATCCTGAAATAGGGAAGTGCAAAACCACAGTATAGTCAGGCAGAATTGACTATCCGCGTCATTCCGTGAATTTTGTATCCTATCCGGTGATAGGCAATCAAACAATTTACAGGTTCAGTCAACTGTTCGTGACGAATATAGATCAATGAGGCCGACAGCCTCAAGTAACGGATGTTATGCGATCAACAGCAACAATTGTTGCAAATTTTGGGGAAAAATGGTTCTATCAGCTTTGCTTATAACATACAAGATATCAAAAATATACTAAATGAACTACACTGTCATAAACGGCGTGATTATTGTCTGACAGAAAAATTATTCATTTCGTCATTGCGCTGCTTAAGCAAAACTTGCTGTGATCAATGTACATGCTGCACTAATTTTGTTCATGAACCATAGCCATTCACAGCTACAGAATGTCTCCTGTTCGTGCAGAACGTCCACTGCATTCTCAGCTTATCAACACGTTTGTAACATGGCAGCGGCCACAACATCGCAGGAGCAAATGTTCCTCAAATGAAGTCTCAAGTCAATCTTATTCATCAGTCTTGTACTCTTGCTTTCAGGATAATGTCTCCCGGTTTCAGATTTTACAAAGAGCATCGATGAAAAAGGCAAACACATCAGTGCTTGGTAAATAACAATTATTTGTACAACGATGCAACGGGTGGTTTACAGCAAGTATTAAAAGATGAAAATGCACAGAACATTACAACTCCGTGACGTTCAGATAATGAAAAAAATAGCAGGTTAAACTATTTCAAGCTTTCATTCATCTGTAGATTGAAAAATTTCAAACACAGAGCCCATCACGACAGTCAGCCGCATACTTGCAACAAACTCTATTATTAGTATTTGGGTAATAAAATAAGAAATAAAGGTGCGGTGGGAACCACCCTGGAGCCTTTTATCCAAGTGGCGCGATTTGAGTCTCAGCGCGACAAATTTTTTAACTGATAATTCCATTCAGCAAATAATTCATGGCAGCGCGGTTCGGCAGAGTTACACAAGAACGTGAAGAAAAGGAAAACCACAGTGTCTCTGGGTAGACATGCCAGAGCAAGCGAGACTTCTGACAACTGCCCATTGCGCGCGCTTCACCGCTCCAGTGCACCTTGATTAATTTGATAGACAACTTACCTAACAAAAAGAGTAACCCGTGAGAAACATGTGCACTAAACAAGCATATAATAAATATAAAGCATTCATCAAATCACGCAAGTATCAAAGATGGTGAGCGTGATCTGCATTCGTGAGTTAGACAAATCAGAAAAAAATATATACCTGAGACGAGTCTGTCGGATCACTGCAAAGACCTTTCTGCTGGATTTCAAATATCTGCTGATTAATTAGCACAGAAGCAGACAACTGCGTTCGATCTTCATGTCTGACCTGCCGGAAAGAGTACGCGTTCAAGTTATTCTAAACGACAATTTAAGGAAAAGCAGTTGCACCATGACAACGATATCTCTCATCTACTATAATTACGAACATACTGACACAACAGCCCATCATGTGAGAAATGAAGTTAAAACTAATTTGAATAATCATTAAGCGAGAAATCCAAGATTATACCCGTTTGAGAATAACGTGATAATTGTCTCGGTGGGTGGTTTCTTGGTCAGAGGTCAGCTCTGAAAAATGCCACCTGCCGCATTGCGACTTTGTAACAAAATGAGTTACGAGTCACCTAGGGAAACCTCATAGGGAACGCTAAATATGGTAGGGTGAAAAGTGACTTACTGGTGATGAAACCGGTTATAAATTCTGACAAGAAAGTTAGAGAGAAAGTCACAACGGACTTTGTTGCTGTTTTGTCATATTGACCTAATGCTAACAGAGTTTAACAGCACAGAAACCCAGATTTCTTGTTTGACCGTTAGAAATGGCATTCAGATTGATTTCAGGCAACTTTCACTGCTGCATGAAAGGTCATATAATTAATCGCAACCAGGTATGCTTCAGTGTTACACTGTTCTCCAACGCGTCTGCGCCAGTGGACGGTTCCTGTAAAATGTTTCGAATATAATTTTATCCTTTTTGGGTCGTTTGATCAAACCAAACAAAGCATTAGCTTGCTAGTTTCTCTAACAGTTTTCTCAAACCGCCGGTCGCCAGCACCTATGGTGCTACGACACTTTGAGTATATTTTATAGATGGCACTGTCTAAACGAACTTAATGGCGTGTCAGAACCCTAGATGCTTTTAAACTTCACAAGCATACGAATATGACTGCTTTCATGACGGTGAGTTCCGTATCAGGTTCCATAGTTAAGTTATTTGACATTTCATACAGCTTGAAGAAATTCGCTGACACCAGCCATATGCGCTGGTTGACTTCAGGATTTATGTCAGAGGTATTAACCAAAACTTTTCTGAGATAACTGAAAGAGTTCATTTCTTCCAATGCAATACAACCCAATAATATTCTCGGACCGATGGTCGCGGAAGACCTCCCATAAACTTCGACTTATTGGCGTAGGCTTATAGGGCTACTCCCACTGCCGTGTTGTACACGCTCCCGATGAATGTCAGTAGCCTATAGTACTTCTTTACATGAAGGATCAAATGAAAAGTTATTGTCAGGGCAGGCAGAAAATCGCAAAAATTTTTAAAGGCATATTCAAAGGTTTAGAAACAAATATTTCTGAGGTAAAATTGGAAACAAAAATATAAACCTTACCAATCGATACTAAAACGCACAGAAAATTGCAGTGTTTACCTCATTTTCTTCTGCGTCTTCTTCAAAGTTTGGCAATGAACGTGATATGCGGTTTCTAGCTGTTAGAAAAAAAGATGAAAGCATACAACCAAGTTTCATACTTACCCAAAGGAGAAAACATATCCAAATCTGCATGGTATCCATTTGATACATCAACTGGTCTCAAATGTTCGCATTCCTAAACATTTAAAATTATAAACGGAAAATGTCAGGAAACATGAGAATATAAGCAATGCTCTTAGGACTGACAAAACAGTCAAAATTATATGCAAAGTATATAAGCTTTATGTTGGAGAAATGTTCATACAGAAGAACGAAAAAAAGTTAATTCGGTATACTCAAAAAGAAGAAAACTACTTCAACAGTTATCAGAATGAAAGTCGAATTTCTCAAAGCCGATTCTGAACTTAGCTACGGTTAATTCAGACAAAAGAGGGCTGTGATTATGATGGACAGAGACAGAGAATCCCAATCCTGTCCGAATCAGCCTTCTGTGAGAGGTAAAAGTGCACAACTACACGCCACACTAGCTACATAACTACAAAGTTCAACAATGAGGCGCTTCTGGGTTGACATCGAAAGAGAGTTCATAACTGTGCCATAAACATAATGAAAAATTTTTGTGACAAACAACAAGCATCATAAAAATGTGAGGCAGACCTATGTTCTAATGATTATGAACTTCCCTCATTCCTTCAGATATTCAGCCTTCATTTTCTTAGAAGAAAAACCACTGAGAATGCTTAAACGAACTTTAGTAGGCGAACGATCGTAATCACACAGGAAATAGTGTGCAACACTGGAGTGTCGGTTACGGATTCAAGAATACTAGTCAAGAGGAAACCGTGTATTGCTTGGACACTGTTTTAGACGCGGAAATCTTACGGCACCTGAATTACATGCGATTAAGCAACCCTGAATTATCTTGCACCATCTCTGCAGAAGACTGAACTTCAAAAAGTTCCGCTGAATGGGCACATGATTCAAAGGATCGCAAGCATGTAATGCGAATGTAACAGTAGCACGTCAAATAAACTCCATAACCGTTCTAAAAACCTGATCATTGGAATCTCTAAAGAGCACCTTGGGCTAAAGACTTAGCTTCGTGTACGAAAAACACACCTCCGTCCGCATATCTTGCTCTGCGGATAAGAAACGTAGAAACTGCAAACCGTGAGCGTGTCAAACTTCGATCTTTCCTTATGAGGTAGTTGTATCAGCTATAATGGCAATGAAATGGAATTATTTTAACCCTCACATCAAAATGAGTACCGTGAAAGCTTTATGACAAACGGACGTGTCCGCTGACGTTCTTCATCATATACAGCGAAATGAATAAGCTGCAGCTTTACTTAACCATGAGCATTATTTAACGGAAGTGCCTATGAAACGCTCAAGGTATTTGTAGAGGCAAGCAGACGTAGGAAGGTTTCCTCTGCGAGAAAATGGCACAGAGATTGCTAAAAATAGAAACGGATACAGCTGCTGAGGTATATCCGAGAAGCAGCAGTTTTCCTGTAGCTTCTTCAAATAAACGCTCCATAGATATTTCGTCCTTTATTAATTCAGAGACAAGAAAACTGTCTAATTCTATCATAGGTTCGGGCATCTGGGCACTTGAACATGCTTTCTATAACTGCTTATTTTACGCCCGATTATATTCGACACATCACTGTGTATAAAACAAAGTCAAGAAACTAACCGAAAAATCTGTCATAGAAGAAATAGTCGACTTTTCATTATCCATCGCGCCGTCTGGTCCTAAAAATAGTTATTCAGATGGTGCATGTCAATAAAATACCTTTTACCATGCCTTTCTTCAGCATATTTTGACAACGAGAGATTGCTAATATTATCCGTTGTCGGTTCCGAATGAAATTCTTCTTGTGGCATATGCAGGGAAAACGGATATAAAAATGGATTACAATCGGCAGCGTTAGTCAGGCTGTTCTGCTGATAGATTTTGCTGTATTCGCCAGCAGTTACCCAGTTGGGATTCGGTTGTACGTTTGCCATATTTGCTGATGCTGAAGATTCGCCCATATCATTAGGCTGCCAAACTTCAACAATTTCGCAGCAAATTTTTCCACATAACCTATAACCAAAGATAAAGTTCAGTAAAAGTTTTCACAAACTTTCGTTTACATCGACGAACGATAAGCTTTATAAAGTATAACATTACCATGAATATGAAGAATGAAACCAGCGAAATTTACAACTAACCTAATAGTCATGGCAGCTCTTCTCATTTTTGTTAATGCTTTCGGCTAATCATATTTCAGTAATCAGGAAACTGACGCCGCATTTTTTGTTATCAACAAAGGAGTCGGAAGTCGTAAGTACACACTGCAACATCGCCAAGGATGTCCACTTACGGGAAAATGTTATCCAGAATAGATATGAAAGAGGATCAACATACCAAAAATTTCTAACACACCAACAGCTCGAGAAAAGCAGTCTAATCGCTGAAAGGGTTTCGTGTTCTTGAAATGCATGCGATAAACAACGAACAGTATGCTCAAAATTTATGACCACCGCTTTACAATTTAAAGATGAAATTCACTGTCTAATTGATTAGAATGAAACTTCAAGGTTATTAACAGCAGCCTTAATCTGCTGAATACTGGACCATGGTTTCTCCAAAACTTTCACATTTACGTCTCAATTACAATGTTACGATTTTATCCCCCACTCAGTTTTCAATTTTCGTCAATATACTGCATCCGTTAGTATCCAATAAGAAAGTGCCCGTAGTCGCAGCAAACAACAGGTTTTTGATATTTGCAGGAAATATTTTGGCGTCCAAAATGTCAGCAATTTTAGAAACCACTAGTTAGGGAAACAACGGGAAGGGAGCGATTCCATCTGAGCCCCTAGTCAACGGTCAGCGATCAGGCCTGTCAACGGAAAAGTGGTAATCCTTAAATGAAGCTTACAACAGGCTAAACCGCTGACCCTATTACAGGGCCTACGTGTAATTTGGAGGTAGAACGCGAGTACTTTCTAGAAGAAGTGTTAAGGAGATCTGTACAACGTACAGACTAAGGAAGCCACCAATCTGATGTGAAATTTCAGTGCGTATGTCGGAGCACATACTGAAAAGTGGAAAACGATGACGGTAAAGAACGGCCATAGCAACCTGAATAATAACGGCAAGAAGTTATTTCGGTTTTGTGCAAACAACGGACTGTCTGCCATGAACACTCTTCCAGCATCCAAACGTGCATCAGTATACCTGCTATTCAGGGAAGCTTGTGCACAGAAGTCGATAGTCGATTTGATAATCATATCGTTCGAAACGACGCTCTGTAATGGATGCTCGCGTTAAGAGAATTGCAGATATGTCAACAAATCATCACTATGATGTTAGCATACTCAGCTGCAAGCTAGTGCGCATCAAGCGAAAATCTGGCAGCAGAAGCAACCAGAGAATCAAATGGCAAATGTGACCTTCTGTAGATATGAAAGCAAAACTTAAAAACAACACCGATAAACGGTTTCAACAAAACTCAGTCATGGTTGGTGACGTGGAAACGGAGTGGATGCTACTTGAGGGCTGTTAATCGAGGCTGCCGCAAAATGCTGCGGTTAAAACAGGTGAGTCCGCAACTTGAGGGCAAAAACAAACTTCCTAGCAGACACGGTTGGCTATCAGTGAGAAGAAAGCTGCATTCAAAAGGTGGCTTGGAAGGAAAGAATCTTCAACTTGAACTAACGCGATACAAAAAAGCACATAAAGCGGTAGAAAAAGCAGTGGCCAAAACGAAAGCTGATTCCTGGGAGCAGATCACCGAGGGAAACCAAGTATCATGGCAGACGATCAGCTCCCTCTGACATGGAAAAAAGGGCAGTGAGAGAGTCCTGAAGAAAAAGTCAGGACGCTTTCCCACTCTAGAAAGAAGAGATACTTCGGCAACTGCGAGAGTACCCTGAAGAACTCCATAACCGGGAGCAACCGCAGGAAGAGTCGTATGACGAGTAGCAGGCAACGTATATAAATCTTATAGTAGATGACGTCACAGAAGCTGTTCAAAGCTTGAAAAGTGGCAAGACTTCTGCAATCAATGAAATCCGCCCTGAAATTCTTGGAGCATAGGTGAATACGGTATGTTACGGCTAAAACATGTCTATCTAACTGCAGTGACAACGGAGAAGACACCAGTGGACTGGAGAATTGTGCTGGTAGTAGCCTTATTCAAGGACGGAGAAGGCAGTAACTGCTCCAATTTTTGAGGCATTAACTTACTGAGTCTTCCGGGAAAAGTCTAAGCAAAGGTACATGGAGGCCCTGAGTAACAGTTGATACTAAGATCCAAGAAGGGCATAGTGCCTTCAGATTAAGCCGAGGCAACTCTGATCGGACCTTCAACTCACAGCAGATTGTTGAGAAATCGTGAGTTCGCTCATCCGGTTTACATGTGGAATCGATGACCACCTGCTACGGGCCATCCAATAATATACAGTGATAGCAGGTGCAGCATCTTAATAGCTGGCATTAAGTTGAGACATATCAGTGTTGGCACTGGCCTCTGCCAAAGCTGTCCTATCTTCTCTCCTATTTGTGCTGTACATGGACAGAATAGTCAGGCACAGCCAAAGTGATGAATTATCGGTGTAGGAGTTGTCGAGACGAGAAGAACGTTGTTTGCAGAAGACCTTGTTTTGTTGGCATCTTCGGAAACTGATCTCCAGCGCTCTCTGGAAAGGTTCGCAACCGAGTGCGACGTGGCCGGCATGCGTGTGAACGCATCTAAAACGAAAAGCCCAGTGCTTTCTCGTGCTCCTCCTCGTTGCTCTCTTAGGAAAACGGATACGCAGTGGATCCATTGAAGAAGTTCAGTACCTCAGGGTCGTTTCTACTGATAATGGAAAATCGGAATAAGTGATCGGTCAACGAACTGGAATGGCCAGCGGCTTTCTGCAACTAAACTGCCTCGTTGTAACTAATGCAAAGCTGGGTGTGAAGTTTATACTCTCTGTGATCAAGTCGATTTTCATCCCGATGCTCACCTACGGTTGCAATCGTGAACCATTACTGAAAAACTTCGATCTCAGGTAAAAGCGGCTGAAATTGGCTCTCTGAGACGAATCGTTGGGCTCACAGGTCTTCATATGGTTCGGAGTATAGGTATGTGAGAGTCATTTGCGCATAGTCGCTGTTTTACCAGACTGAGGAGCTAAAATTGTGATAGTTTGGGCATGTCTTGCAAATGCCTTCAGAAAAAAGCAAAACAGTTACTCCTTGCTCAATCGATCCGCCGATGACCCTGAGAACAGTTAAGAATAAACTGGAGCAAGAGTCTCGAAGGACTCTGAGTTATCTTCTCCCGAAACTGAAACGCTGGCACAGAATCAGGAAGGTTAGAGATATCGTCTGACTTGTCCGCCTCCGCGACCCGAAAGGACACGCGATCATCGAAAATGACTGACTTAGGGAAAGACAACAATCCCCAGAGTAATGTGTGCACTGATAATGTGAATTAGTGTGAAGCTTCTGGTGTTACCTACTTCATACGCAACACTTTTATTTTAAAGCATTTTTGGTTCGTCAAAAAATGCTAGAAAGTACCACTGTAAATACCAATGCGATGTGAAGGAAACAGTGTAAAGCAAACTAAACTGAAGGCATTCCGGACAGCTAGAAAATTACACAATGTATTTTCTTCTAAATGAAATTGTGACGAGAGACTGAAGTTCACAGTACTAACAACAAAAGTATATGCGACTGAATTAGGTATATCCAAAAGCTCAGCGAAAACGTTAACACCACCCTCTCTCCACGCTAATGTACATATGCTATAGCGTCTTTCATCAAACAAACAAAATCTTCGGTTGGAAGGAAACCGCGCCAAAGAAAATGAACGCGA